AGATAAATTGAAGATAGAGATAGAGATAGAGACAGATAATTGAGTCAAGCAAGCGGTAGTGACCGTAAGTAAAGTGCGTGAATCGTTGTGAATTATAGCGTGTGTATAAGTTAAAGTGACTGTGGAAATTAAGTGCATTGCAAAGCTGTATTGAGAAAGAAGAAACTAGTTTTATTTAAGAAAGGACTTGTATCGCTGAAGTTCTTCGGAATGAATTTCTAGGGGAAATTAACAAACAAACAGAGACATAACAATATGCACTTATCTATATATATATATATCATTGTTAATCTATATCTTATACCTGTTTGTTATGAGACATATTCTAGTATAGCGTACTTGTGTATTACAATCCTTTCTTTTTATTAAAATGATTTTCTTCGTCGAGCTTTATCAGGACTGTCTCCATTATCCACTTGAAAATCTAGTATTTATGAAATTAGCTTAGCAAGATATTTTTGGGGTATGACGAATGTTTATTATCGGAGGAAATAAACGTCTAAATGCGACAAGGGACGCAAAGAACGCTGTGAATCGACGGCAAGTCTAGTCAGTTTCGTTTCCGAGTTTCGAGTTGTTAAGAATGAGAGTCATACTACTGTCTTTACGAACTGCAAGGCCAAATTGTTTGTTTTTGAATTTCGCGCAAAGCTACACGAGGGCTATCTGCGCTAGACGTCCCTAATTTAGCAGTGTAAGACAAGAGGGAAGGCAGCTAGTCATCACCACCCACCGCCAACTCTTGGGCTACTCTTTTACCAACGAATAGTGGGATTGACCGCACATTATAACGCCCCCACGGCTGAAAGGGCGAGCATATTTGGTGGGACAGGGATTCGAACCCGCGACCCTCAGATTGCGAGTCGAGCGCCTTATCTACCTGGTCATACCGGGTCAAGGCCAAATTACAATGTACATACACAATGTGCGAGCATGATTACTAAAAACTAAACACAAAGCTATTTTTTCGAAACACAAAATTTATTAATCAAGTAGATTTGTTTACATAGTATAAGACATAAATCGGTAGTGCATATGAAAATAAAACATCTTTTGAAAATATCTGGACACGAAATGAATTTTGCAAAGAAAAACAATTTTCTTTAAAAGTTTCACAGTGGAGAACTTTAAAGCCATGAAGATGATATAGCCAACGATAACTTAAGCTTATGATAACTTGTAACGTAGTTGTATTTCGACGAAATCCAAAACCTGTTTTCTAAAAGAACTTCAAGAATCACTTAATAATCTATGCCATAAAGCGTCTTGCTTCTGACGAAAATTTTCATCTCCCGATCACCATGAAATTCTAAGGATTCTTTTGTTTATAATTTTAAAACACATTCCTTTACTCATATTCCGAGTTTGACAGTCATTTCTACTTTTCTCCTCGCTGCTGCCTTAATGACTATTTCATACAGCTCTTTAGTTATTACAGTAATATAAGTTAATGCAGTTAGCAATAATTACACAATTAATCTGGTAAATTAAATGTTAAATATCTATCAGTAACAAAATTCTGTGAATGTTTCGTGTACTCTTGCTCATTTACTTTTTCACTGATGATTGATATATTTGTATAGTGTCATTTATTCTTCTGGACAATGAAGAGGAATCTGCTACAGTCTGTGGAGACCTAAATCTGAGAACAAGTCTTATATGTGTGCGTCTCCGGTGGCAACAGATGGTGGCTGTGGAATGTCGATTAGCACGTGATTCTTGTTCTCAATCTGGTCATCCTAGGAAGTTCGACCTACTTCGCTGATAAGATTCTCAATGGTTCACAGGTCCCGCTACTGTGTGGGTTTGTACATGTAGCTACTGTTGGAAACCACCTACGTCTTCCCTGAGTCTCGTCTCTTGTCGAACAAGAACACAATAAACAAAGTATTTACAATCAAGGGCATTAAATCAGACTTGTACAACACTCGTGAGACACATCTTCCTTGAATGAAATCAACCACAAGACTCAATCTTGAGTGACTGTTAGATAAGAGAAACCTGGTTTCTGGTGATAAGTAATTGCATTCACTTTAAATCTCAAAGTCTGAACTTACTTCTTTCTTCTTATGTGAAACAGTGAAAAGAAAAACATTAACTAATTTTTTTGAGAAATGTTGAGGACTAAGACCAGCTTGAGGTGCTAATAAATGTTTTGAGTTTAATAAGCGGACACTTGATGGCCTAGCAATGCTGTGGTTCGACTCTAAATTAAAAGTGGATTTGCAGATAATCTAGTGTTGTAAGGGTACATGATTCTTGTATACATATATGTTATGTGTGCAAATAATGTCCACCGACTCTATCGTGAATACAACAATGTCTTTCACAGCTACTACTGTACCTGATGTCACAGACTTCCACAACGATGTGACAAAGTTCAACCTCCCTTTTCCTAAACCCACAGGTAAGCCAATCAGTTTAAACTACACCCACAGTTGAGCCAATCACTTTTAATTCTATGATCTGGTTACGTGTAATTCATTCATCCTGACAAGTGGCCGTTAATAATTTACTTTTATATTGAATCTATGGCATATACAAGCCTATTATATAACTAAATTGCATTTAGGTACTAATTTTACGGAGTCAGTTTTTACTAGAAATTTCAGGTTGGCTGATTTCAATTTTATCTCACTAAAAACAGTTATAACTAAATTAATAAACGTACCATAAAAAATATAAAAATTAAAATTCATATGAATGATGATGCTTACAAAACTGTGAAGAAAAGTAATTTGTTCTTGAATTAAGAGTTTGGAAACAATAATCAATACCTAAAATTAAAACGTGGAAATCCAGTGTTTAGAACTAACAGCTTTTTTCTTCGGATATTGGAAAAGTTGTGCACAAATTTATTACAGTATAATAAATATGTCCAAAACAATTATTTTTTGGTCATATGATTAGTTCACAATCCAGAATAGATAAGAATAATGTAAAAAAAAAGTTTATTATATTTTTTTATTCTCAGACAAAGCCTTCAAATTGCAAAGGTTTTGGCTAAAACATTTTTAGTAAAAAAAAATATTTTTAGATATCAATAAACATCTAAGCTCCACTTTTCATTTGTGTACAAGTAGAGTAGACAAGTCGAAAATTTAAATTATTTAATGGAAAGATAGCTTGTTTATTTGTTTTTTGTTAAGCACGAAGCTATACAATGGATTATCTGTGCTGTTCCACCACTGGTATCGAAATCCTATTTTTATCGTTATAAGCCTTCAAACTTTCCGATGAGCCACTGGGGGATTGAAAAGATAGCAAGTAAACTTGTCGATAATTATGATATATTCCGCTTTTAGTAGATCTTGTTGTTGACTGTTTTTAATCATTTTTTTTTATAATTTATTGCTTTATTTGGTGAAATCAGTGAGGGTGAGAGCTATGTCTCTTTAGACAATTATGAATAGTTTGTTAAATAAATTCAGTTGGTTTTAGTTGTCGTTGAATTTCTACTCCACTATTCGGTTTGAATTCCCTATTCATACAATTACAACTTTACTTATTGAAATAAATAAAACTAGCTTCTCTACACTTTGAATAAATAAAAATGTGCTTTGTAAAGAGATTATACTAAACTCTTCTGCTCTATGAGTGAACACAAAGCTTCTTGACAAACAGGAACAAGATTGAGCCCCTCTACTCATTGAGTGGTTATAAATCCACCTGGTAAGTTAAGTTGATGTAAACATATCTACTCAATGAGTGAATGCAACGCTTTTTGATACAAAAGAGTAAGATTGAGCTTCTCTACACATTGAGTTTTTACAAATCCGCCTGGTATACAAAATAGTTTAAGCTTGTCTGCTCTGTGAGTGGATACAAAGCTTATCGATAAATAGTGCTAAGACTGACTCTTCTGCTCACTGAATAATTACAATTTCGCCTGGTGAAGCAAATTGGATTAAGTTTCTCTGCTTCAGGTATAACCACAACGTTATTTGATGAATAGCGTTGCACCAAATTTCTCAGCCAAATGAATTACCACTATTTTAGTTGATAAATTGCACTTGACTGAGCTCCCTTTTTCGCTGAATAATTGCAAAGCTACTAATGAAAGTATATATTAAACAAATATGGGTTGTGATTGGTCATTTTAATGTTAGAGACAATAGAAAGTTCCAGAAATGTTTGTATTTTTGGGACGATCGATGACTAAATAAAGTGATTAAACACAATGGAAATATGTGTTTATTTTTTAAAGAAAAAAGGAGTATAATGTAATCTATTTATGTGATAATATCCATTTACGTTGAATAATAGATACTAAAACTCTTGCATAGGTTTCCTTTTAAACAAACTTATACTTGAAACTTGAATTAGGAATACATTTAAATGATGATAGGTTATGTTTGAAACAAACTCTGAACTTCCTCCTAACCATTTCATAACTTGGAAACATATTTGAAAACAAAAAGAAAGGATAACATTTTAAGAGATGCATTTTCGTAATATTCAAACCGTTATGTGCTATAGAAAAAATACTGTGGTTATCTAATTTCCAATTTAGTATTTTATGGAAAGATACAATCAAAAATGAATTTTTTATGGGAGTTCAATTTTCGGCTCGTGTTTTGGTATATCTCATCTCATTGCTACTTATCACATGTATTTGTAAAAATTTCATAATTTATGCACCGAGAATTATCTCTTGAACTAGTTCTTATAAATAATGTTTTCTAAATGTTTTAGGTGAATTTGTGTCAATTTGCAAGCACACAAACTTTCGTTTAGATCTGTTTGTTTGTTTTTGAATTTCGCGCAAAGCTACACGAGGGCTATCTGTGCTAGCCGTCCCTAATTTAGCAGTGTAAGACTAGAGGGAAGGCAGCTAGTCATCACCACCCACCGCCAACTTTTGGGCTACTCTTTTACCAACGAATAGCGGGATTGACCGTAACATTATAACACCCCACGGCTGAAAGG